TCATATTTGCAGTAAGACAGTTTATTCAATTATCTTTTTGATGAACCTGGCGCGAATATATTTTAATTATAATGATGCGTGCTTATCAGTCTTATCTCACATTATCAGTCTGAATACGATTCGTTAGAATATTATAATTGCAAATGTATCACCGTTATAATCGCATCAAAAATTCCATTCCAGGTGTATTATTTTACAATAATTTAAACGGATCATTTGTATACGTAATATACAATAAATCAATCGACAAATTTCCTAAATCATTTCCTAAATCATGGGGAAATTCCGAAAATTTTCGGTAATATTTTTGCTTGTTTTATTCACTTGAAAAATATTAAATAGAATAAAATCAATTATGTATATAACGCAAAAAAAGTGGTTAGCGCTGGTCATTTCCGGTTGTGCTGGAAATTTTTGCTAAGAAATCACTCGGGTGATTTGCCAGCTGATTTTTTGCCGATAGACTTTCTCATACTAAGAAAGGCATAGTCAAAGAACTGTACAGAAATCCTAAATATAAGTGTTAGGATTCTTTTCTTTTTTTTTTCATTTCACAGTAGCCTCAACTGGCTTCAGAGCCAGAATAATGCCTTCAGAGCTCCCGATGTTCACAGTAGTATAACTGAAAAGAACAAAATAATAAAAGTGAGATATATATTATATTAAGTATAAATCATAATTGCTCTGCTAAATTTAAATTTATTAATATATTGCGATGAGATTTGATGAAATTCGCATACTCCATGTGGCCTCCAACATGACCGCTGAATTAATGAATCAATCGACTTAGTGGAAGGTAAAAACGAAGGGAAATTTTTTCTTCGCATATTGTTATGGCCGTTGAAGAAAAGAATATGCCTCATTAGTCATGTTCGACAAAAAAGACGAATCTTTTAAAACGGATCATAAGGGATTTTTTCTTTCCTAATGAAATTAATGTTAATTCTTATTTTCTTATTTTAAAAATTATTTATTCGCTAGAAAAATTTCAAATATATTTTAATGAAAACTTAGAAATTTTAAATTCTAACAGTGGCCCTCGATTTTCTCGTTTTTTTTTATGCATTTTATAGAATCTATTAGACTCGTCTCGCTAGCCACAAGTATTTTCACATTTATGATCACCGACACTGGGCTTTTCAACTGAAATTCATCTTTAGTGGAGTGAAACCTTTAGTGAACTCGTGTCTTCAAAACAATAATCCACCTTTTACCCATTAAGCTGTCCTGTCTCCCATTGTTTGCAATTTATTATATTTTTATACAAAATATCCAACAATAAATTTAAATTTCTATTGAATGAACTTCCTATTTTTATAAGATAAATTTTATACCAAAATTAGACGAGAAACTGGAACACTGATGACAAAAATTGATGACTTTTTATAAAAAAATTAAGGTAATTGCATGAGATGAAAGATGAATAAAATAGACATAGAAAAGGCAATTTCGATGCAACCACCACTAATAACAATTATTGTAATCGCTGGCGAGAACCATTTGTATGTCCATACGCGTTAATAGAATTTTTATAATTGCAGTATTTTCATATTAAACTCTCTTTAGGAATTTGAGATAGAAGAGGATTCAACCTGGAAAAGATCCATCATTAAAATACAGGCCGAAAAAATAAAATTGATTTAGTTTGGATGATTGCAAAAAAATTATGTTGTATTAAGATAATTTGATATCTATCGATAAACATTTCGAACATTTCGAAATGCAAAAGCCGTCGCAACAATTTTGTACTTCTTTTCAAAAAGATTTTATTTTTTTTGAAGTTCATTTGAAAATTTTCTTTTTAAAATTCTCGCCATTACTGGTAAAACTCGCTCTACTTGGTTTGTTGCATTGGGCAATATGCCAGAGAATCCCTTGGCGATAGAAATACAGGTAAGTTGCCAGCATCACCCGGATTTTTATGCAGGTTTACTCCCGCGGGGAATTGAACCTCAGCATCGGCATTCCCAATTGAGTAACAATCCACTGAGCCATTCTATCCCCCATTTGAAAAATAACAATGAAAATTATAAAAACCCTTAATCATAGCTAAAATTTTGAAGGCGTTTGTACGAACCAATTAATATTTAATTAATATTTATTAACTTATCACCTCTCCTCTCTTCCTGCGGGCCTACTTGTACTGCAGAGTAAACTATTATTGGTAGTGGTTGTTTGATTATCCACTCTATTAGGAAGATAAAAATTGAATTCTTCTACTATAAGCAACAAATTATCGCAAAGACTGGTCGGTTTTTGATCGATCAGACCGAGCGACATGAATCCGACTGCCTGTATTTTGACGGACCATTAAAAGTAAAATCCAAACGATCAAGTGAAAGAATCTTATCCAACCAGCGAATCAAAATTAATACTTTAACCTTTCCAGTTATTGCAAAAATTTATAGCAAAATTAGTGAATACAGCTTCGATAATTGCCACAGCAAGTGCTATTAAGTTTTTTTTCGAAAATTTAATTTTCCTAAAAATAAAATTTTGAAATAAAATTCATAATTTCATGACTTTTGTCGATTGTAAATTTTTTAAATAAATTCACAAATCATAGAAAACATAAATTATTATTAAATTATAAATTAAATTTATTATTTTCTTTCAAGTAATATTTTTATTATATAATCATTTTTATATTTTTTGACATATTTTATATGTTTCTGTAAAAGTTAATTTCTAATGTGATTATCCTCTACGATTTTATAATCTTTTGCTGTGGGATTTGATGCGCATTAAGAGAAAATATGGCAGATTCGAGCGATGAAAATGCAAAGGAGGAATGGATATGAAGGGGTCAAAGTGGGAGAGAGGGGTAAGCGATAGATAATACTAATAAAATAATATAGCGGACTTTGGAAGATGAGAAGATTTAGAGGTTTCCATGGCAATGTTTAATGATGCGTTAAAGGAACATTTTGTGCTGAGGCATAAAGGCTTTGTGACAGTTCAGCGAAGTCTGAAGGGTAATTTTGAGAGATCTAAGAAACGGGCTTAAAGGAGCGTTCGAAAGGCATTTCGTAGAGACCGAGGAGAGTTCCTATAAAAGGGCTTACAAATAGCGCACTCGCGCTCCTTCTTTTACACACTCGAGTAGGGCTCAATTTATTCATATGGGAAGAGTCTTCCAGACTTTTCCCTAATTCTAATTTATTTTCGTAATGAATAGTGACGCTTCTAATTTTATCGCTGAATGAATCGCTCGCAGAAATTTCCAGTTTAACTTTCAAGAAACGAGAGGTGCCGATTAGTCGGAAACACTGATGGCTCCAACCCCTTAAAATCACTCCCCTTACGTTTTTTTAAAAAAAATCTCGAAAACTCCTTTTCAAATTCTAATTAACGAGAAACCCCACCAATATTCCCATAAATTTGGTTATCCACGCCCATCCTTCGCCGCCTTTAGAATAATTGGCGGAAAGCCAGTTATGTCGAAGCTGATGGATAGCAATGACGTTTTTAAAATTTGATTTTTTGAATCTTCGAGAAACGAGGTTTGTGGACAAAATCGGCTGTAAAAAATTTTTTGTCAATTTTTTATAAATTTTTATTAATTTTTTTTACAAAGTTTTACTGCTAATTGTTGCAAATTGTTTAAATTATTGCAAACAATAAATTATTTCCAATCGCTTTCTTCTTTTGTTTCACTTTAATTTGCGTCGTTTTTTATTTCATTGGTTTTAATTTTTATTCGATAATTTAGTTTCGAAAAAAGAGGAAGTAATCTCCTCCAAAATCTTTTCGCAGTTTTAGACTTTAGGCGGAAGTATGGGCGGCGGCATCTCTGAAGTCGACGAGCACTGTTCCGCGCAAAAGGAGGGGAGTTAAATTCACCTTAAAATAGGGGAAATCGGCTTTCTGATGAATTGGCCAGCCGATTGGTCCAAGCATGCAGGCAGAGCGCGTGTGTGAGTGTGTCAGGAGATGCATAGGCCCGCAGCGGTCGCGGCAGTAATGAAAAGCTGCGGAAAACGGCCTCGAATCTGGCGGTTTGGAGTGTGCATTCACTGAAAATAATTTTGCCTATATCGCAAAGCAGTTACATTTCGAAAGGTTCCATAAAACTTTCAAAGAAACTGTCTGCCACTACTAATCGATTTCTTTAAGTCTAAGCCTCGAACTGGATTCTTCAAATGCTGCCTATCGTCATGACACCGTTAAAGAGGTTTTATTCATAGAGGAGAGAAAATACCACGTAAAGACATTCTTGCTCCAAATTCTCAAAAGTGGTAGGAAGCATTGCGGTAACTATTGAGAATCATTTTGCTAGGTATTTTTGCCTCCCTTCTGTTGAATAGGTCCATAATTCGTGATGAAAGGATATACCATAGCCAGGCATAGTTCATTCCGACTTTTAAATTAGAATTATTAGAAATTATCCATTTTGCTTTTGCTTTTCCAGGAATTTTTTGCTCTTCGTTTTCGCTGTTGGCACTTCGTTTAGCTTGTCTTTTTTTACACTGGTCTTAATTTACGCGGATTGATATAAAACTCAGATGTTTCTAACTTTAAAGTGCTAAAGTACATTTGATTTTAATATTAAACGTAGTTTATATGAAGAAATATAAATATCAAATTTGATGTGAAGTATAATTTTGCTTGCAAATCACGTATTTATTCATATATTATATTTATTTGTATGAACGATTGACCATTTTTATGCAATATTCTCTTATAATTTCTCGTTATTTAATGAGAAAATTCAAGTAGTTAAAATTGCTAATGAGATAATGAAGAAAGATTTAATTTTAATTTAAATAAATTTACTTTAAATTTTTTTCCTTTTTGGCTTATTTTCAGCCTTTTTTGGAATATTTCGTAGTTATTATCAACAGAGAGTTTATCGTTGATAGAAATTAAAATTGTTAATAGAAATTATTTACAGTGTGGTATCATTGATATCATTATTAATATTTATCAATATTAATATTTATCATTATTAATATTAATTATTTTTATCACTATTAATCAGTGGTCATCAATATTTTTAGATGAATGATGGTCGTCGAACGATAATATATTTATTAGATGGTCGCAAACTGGAAATAATAATTCAGCGGCGATTGTTTACTAATGAATTATTAAATATAATCGCAAGTCATGTTTCGTTAAAGGAACCTGATAAGAAATATTTCGCACTGGCTTATATCGATAAATTGTTGTTTTAATTAATTTTTTTATATTTAATTTTTTATTTCTTTTTTGATAAAATACTTTCTTGTAAGAATATTTCAATAATTTTGGTTTCGTGAAAATTCATTTTTTGAAGAATTTTTAAATCTGCAGATATCAACATCATTGGTTGCCAAATAAAATACGTTTGTTAGAATTCGATTTTCCTCAAAAATCGTCGAATGAACCTCTTGAATTATTTCACTGTGTCAAGTAATTTTTTTCCTGTCCTCTTTTCCTTCTGGAATATTGATTTTTTAAATTAAAAAAAAACTATGATATTAAAAGGGTAAATACAAAATATAATCCTTTAATTTCATGGGTTTCATAATCTTCATATATATAGTTAAATTATTTATGGGAATTTTGCGAAATTTGATTAGATTTCTCGTAAAAGTGCTTTGGCTTTCAACCTTTTTTTGCAGATTTTTTGTTGACTCGTTTATATTATTGCAACATGCTTCTGCGGTTGAACTATATTTTCTAGATGTAAAGTCACGTCTTTTAAGAGTTAAATTTTTAATGTTATTGCTTTATTAGCTATTTATACTTTCAATAAATATGTTTTGAGTATGTCTAAAATAAATGAATCTATTTTAAATGAATCTATGCTGTGCATATCGCTTTTCTGTAAGATGACTTACAACTTGTTGGCAGAGATCATTTTTAGATAGGAATTTTGGGATTTTTTAAAAAAATTTTCGGAAGATTTTGATACATCAAGAAGCAATAATTTTTATAGGGTTTACTTGATTTATGTGATGTCGAATATTGTAAAATTGTTGCTTATTTGTTGCAAATTTATGATGGAAATTATGTGAGGTGAGTTTATAATTTTGTAAAAGAATGAAACACCAAGTCCATAATTTACTATTATGATGAGAAGTGTGCCAAGAAAATGTGATTACTATGAGATAGCCTTTTTTCGCCGAAAAATTTTTTTTAAAATACTGGTTTTCAGCGATGAGAGAAGTCGATCGATCATTTCGAATTTATTACCAATACCTAGAAAATTTTTAATTTCTTCGGGAATTTCTTTCGATGATTATGAAAATAATATTATAAAATTTTATAAAAAATTAAATGGCACTTCTCAAGGCAATTCCATTTTGAAGTTTGTTTTGTTGTTAATTGATAAATTTTATTAGGTTATGAACGTTGCTGATAATTTTTCTTCATGGAAAAGTTTTAAAATTTTAAATTTTCGAAAATTGGGGAATTATTTTCGTTTGAGAGATATTTATTTAAATTTTATTAACAAAATTTTATTCATTGTTGAATAACAAAATAAAATTGTAGTTTTTTACAATTAGCGGAAAAATCGTTAACATATGGCAGTCATTTTTATGAAGTAATTGATAAAAGTGGTATATTATGGACTTTGGCAATTAATAATAAGGGAATATATCAATATTCGCCGAATAATATTTGTGAACCGAAAAAGGTTTATATTTTTGTGCTTTTTTTTTTACAAAAATATGAAAGTAAATTATAATTATAATTTTTATAATTTATAATTATAATTTTATTATAATTATAATTTATTATTAAAATTATAATTTTAATTATAATTATATTTGTTATAATTTTGATGAAACAAGTGTATAAATTTAACAAATATAGCAGTTTGGATTATCGGTTTTTAAATTAATATGCATAATAATTAAATTAATTAATATGCATAACAAATTATATCATTGAAAATAATCAGGAAAATATTAAAATGAACTCTTGGCATCACAAAAGTACTTTTCATCAAAAGTTTAAATCTCGAAATGTTTTAGAATTTAAAAGATTTTGTATTTTTCTGAATAAGAGTCGCTTTATTTTATATTTCGAAGATGCCTATTCTTGTCTATTTTTAATTAATACCCTTGGTGTCCATCTTGTTTATGGATTATACTAAAAGATTAGTAAAATATAACGGGTTTTGGAGACACTAAAACGTTTTAACGCATTGAGTTTCGAAGTCAAGATCAGTATCACTTTTTTTGCGGATTCCCACGCACTTAATCAAGTATTTTATTATATGAGTATTTATTTATTGCTGTTTATTAATAAAGGCTTATAAAGGATAATAAATGTGGTTGTCATATTTTTAAATATTTTACTTTATTTAGAGTCAAAAAGAAATTTTTCTTAAAGTGCTAAATTTTTACCTTTTACAAATTTCATTAAATCAATTATAATATTTGAGATTTACTATTAAGAAATGTTTTCATCGTCATAATTTGTATGTTTATTTATCTTTATTTAATTTTCTTGAAATTCAAAAAATTAATAAAGAAAAGACGTTGAATTACGGAAATTGCTGTAGTATGAAATAGTTTGCTTCTAGATAATGATAATGACTATGGGAAAAGGGAAAAAATGAAACTTTTTGAGTGGTGAAATGGGAGAGTTTGTTACTGGATTAGGTTTAATCATTTGTACTTTTTCAAAAATTATTTTAGATATTTCACTGGCATTTGCTGGATAATTTGTATTACAAAGATCGAAAATTTTCCGTTGAAGTTCGCAATACTCAAACGTATGTTAATCATGTTAGATTTAGTCCTTTTTTTGTTCCTTCTCGTTTTCTAAATAATAAAAGGATAATAAATTTAGTGATGGATCGAACTTTACTCGTGAGTTCGATTTGTGTCGAACTTTTCGAGAAAATTCTAAGGTAAATTCTAGGCTTGGTCGGCGAATTAGAAGATTTATGTTGGGAGAGATTTTTTATAAGAAAAAAGTTGGTATGTTAAGTATGTTATGTAATTATGAAGGAGGTTAGCGAATTGATATATAGTATTAATATGTGTTTCCATTATAAACAATGCAACTGCTAAAATTAAGATGGTTGTGTTAAAGGAATTTTATTTGTTTAAAGGATTAAGACAAGATTTGAATGCCCTAAATCATAAGTTATTGCTGTCCACAAAAACGATGTACTTTCCTGTATCCCTTCGCAGTCCTTTCCTCTTCCCTCCGATATGCTCCCTTAATTGCTTTTTAAACCTCGTTATAATCACTTAATGCTATTATTTTGTCGGCAAATTGCTGAATTAGGAGTATATAGATGTTAGTTAGGGCCCCAGTAGCTTTGTTTTTCGTTTCTTGTCGTGCCGAGTCTCGGATTTCATTATATGTTAATTTATCTCTCTATACATTCCAACTGCAATTACGAAGCGATATTGCCATTAATTCTACATGAAAAAAACTTTTTTTATTTTTTTACGCTATTTCTAAATTATAGGATAAGCGAAGCGAACGTTAGATATAACGAAGATTCAGCACCTGATGACGTTCGAGATAATAATGACATAAAGTTTTCATTTTATATTCATGTCCTCATTTGTGTAGATTTGTAATTATTTAATAAATTAAAATAAATTTAGGAAAAGGAAGATTAGTTTATTCGATCCTTTCAAGGGCAAACAAAAGATATATGACATGCATGTTATATGATAAATCATTTTAGCATTATGATCATACATCATCACAATTCACATTTCATGCTTATTCCTTATAATCTTTAAAATTTTAGTCTTAATTTCAATCTTTTTCCTTCATAATTCATTAATTCTTTCTTAATGGTTTTTTATTTGGTAGTAGCACAGAAACACATCGACGAACTGTATTATCGTCTTCGTTGTCAGTACATATTTTTACATTTTTTTGTGAAACAACGTTGCTTTGTAAAACAATTTGGTCAACGGCTATTGAATTACATCAATTTTATTTGGATCAGCGAACTAATACAAGATTAAATGTAAGTTTTTTAAAGTGAAGACTAAAGACGAATGCCATTTTTTTTTATAATTTTTATCATCAAAAAGTTTTACGAAAATTTCTTCATTTTTTTTTCATTCAGACTATATTTTTTAAAAGATTTATCAATTTTAAGGCGGATTTATTAATCTTTATTGATGAAAAATTATCTTCATTGTTTATTTAAAAAAACAATAAGAGAGTAATGAGTAATTTTATTGAAAAATTTAATTTCACGGATATTTGATGATGATAAAAGAAAAGAAATTTTTTAAATCTTATGTTGTTTTATAAAAAAATTCCTTTCTCGCTAGCTATATGGTATAGATTTTCTTTTGTTTTTAGGAGTTTGAAGGTTCTGCGAAGTATTTTGGCTATTCTTAGCAATGTGCCTTTTTGGACAGAGTTCACTGATGTCATCCCTGGAGTCTGCCAAGGCCACTTTTATAGTTTAGGTCATAATTTCCAGTGTTCCAGTTACCAATGGGACTACTTTGGTTTTCATTTCCCATATCTTCCCTAGTATTTTCTCTATCTTTTCATATTCCTTCCTTTTAATATTCCTCTCATTCGGTACTGCCCTATATATTTTGTGTTGATTTTTGATTCTTGTATACTACCACAATATCTGGTTGATTAGTCTGTCTGTATAGACAAGTCACAAGATCTTGGCTTTTCACGATTGATCTCTCCACGATTTTCTGGGGAATCTCCCATCTAATTTTGAGTAGATTTATTGAAATCAACCATGTAGGGCGATAAGCGCCATTTGCTTGCATTGTAACAATTAATAAAATAATAGAATAATAAATGAAGAAAATCAGTGGTGATTGTAACAAGGAAATGAAGAGGAGTAATTATAAAATAATGTAATTCGAACTGAATGTATTATAGATAATCGAATGCCAGACTAATCTTTTTTTGAAAATAGTTCGGAATATGCACAAACTACATCCATTCGGTAGTTTTTCCAGTATTCTTCCTTTTAATATTCCTTTCACTTGGTACTGCATTTTAACCCATTAGATCTTGTTTGGTCCAAATTTAACCCAAAATTATAATATTTGGAATTAACTAATTTGATATATATTTATAAATATATGAATTTTATATATATATAAATTAAATTTTGCTTAATTCGACGAAATGTGAGAGGTCTAAGAGATTATATAGTTGGAATTATGTTTTATAATTAAGAGCTTACCATTAGGAAAGAGGCGACGTATATTTCTGGATTTCTTCAATTAATTTACTTAATTTGCAGCAGTATTTGCTAGGAGAGGACGTATCGAACGAATATTTGTACATTTTAATAAGAAAATTTTCACTTCTATTTTTAAACGAACGAAGAAGTAAATTTAGTATTCTCGTGCGGTTCTTTA